TATATATTATTGCTTTGAAAATTGTAATTAAATTAATTTAAGGAAGTAGAATTAAAATTGAAGGAAATTCAACTTTTCATTTTCTTAAATATGATATATAAATAAATATAAATGCCACAATATATAATATAATATAATATATAATATTTTTGATAAATTTTCATTTTGATCCATTCTTATTCTTGTCATTCCAATTCAACTTTCTGTGTGTTGTGTCCAGTTCAATTCAAATTCCATGAATTTAAAGTCAGCTAGCTCTCAAATGCTCAATTTTGTTCAACCTTTTCCTGATTAAATTCTCTTCACACTTCATAAACACTTTTCTGGTTTTGCAACCATGCAGCTGAGAGCACGTATGTGCCTGCTATTCCTGTATGTATATAAACGTACAAAGATTCAGGAAGCCGCTTCGAATGAGATTTCTGAAGAGGCATCTACAGAGAGCAAAGTATGGCACGGCGCTGAAAAGGAAGTGAACGAACATGGAGAAAATCCAATTTCTAAATAGAGACATCGAACAGCAGTGACTAAACGTTGAGAAAGAAACTGCGGGATTACAAAACGGCTCCATCCAAGATATCTGGATGCTAACAGACCGTGAAAGCATATGATGATTATCAGGCTACAGGTTAACAGATTGAACACTAATCATTCGCCTTGTTCCCAATCCAGTCGAATAGCCGTGTCACATTTATTCACAATTCCAAATGTGCCATTTTACAGTCAGAGCCTCTAAAGAGCATCTGATCGATGCAAATGTTTCAAGCTCGCTTCTAACCAGAGCACTGGTTTAGAGAAAACAGCGATGACTCTATCATTGTTTAGCAACCTGGCAGAGGAGCTCACCTCCGAACGCCCACTCAAGATGTACACTGCACCAAAACACGCTGTTAGCGTATCATTCACTGAGGTGCCTTTTAAAAGCATACCACCGCAAGCACGCATTCCAAACCAATTCGTGGAAATTCGATTCGAGCCCCACACAGACTCTCCGCCGGTATTTTCACGACATTACGGTGTGTATTAGATTCAATTTGACACCACTTGCAGGACACAGGTTTAATTGTGCAGATTCCTTCCCCTCTTGTCTAGCTCTAATGAGTGCTACACAATGAAGATACACAGAGGCAAGTGTGCTTTTGAGGTCACCATGACAGCAGCCTCACTGTAACAGTGTGGGTTGTCATGGCAGCGGACACCCAAGGCTCTTTCCTGATTGAGCACTATTCATTTGTTTGGCACAAATGGATGCACATATATCTGCTGCATGTCTGAGCCATCAAAGCCGAAGACACACCGATCCTTGTCATTAACCCCTTGGGAGATGTCTGGCTCCGATCGGTGGAATCCTCTGACAATAACTCTATGTTATTTCATCTTAGAGAGCTGCCCAGACCCTTGGTCTTTCATGACTGTCATTTTCTGCCATCTCTCTGTATGTGTTTTATAGATGACAGGCTAGCGCAGCGAGAAGAACATCAATTTGGATGTTGTCTTCCCTTTAAACAACTGGTTGCTGAAGCTGGTTGTCAGGGTGGAGCGAGCACTTGTGTGTGTCGAAAAAGGCAGGTATGTTGAGAGAGGAAAAAAAAGATGGACGGGCAGAGAGAAAGAGCGAGCCAGCGAGCGCTCTGAAAGCTTGTAAGGAGTGAATCATCCGTTCTAACTGTCAACCCCCTCTCGCCTACGCCGTACCAGGCTCAATGCCCTGCTCTTAACGCTAAACCGCCGTTCCTTCCTCCCAGCACCGCTTTGACATCCTAAAGAGCCTTAGCCCTTTAATTACTCAAACTAATGATATCAACCTGT